GGCTGGGTCTCTATCTCCTGCTTAATCATCCATAGCCTCCAAATGGTTGACATAGAATATAAAATGTTCGTTAAAAATACAGATTTATTGAATTTGTATCCCAACTTCCCCCCTCTGCAAGAGCTCCAAGTGTTGCACCTGTGTCAGGGAGTGAGCAGGACAAAGCCAAAGTTTTCCCACTCATCTCACTCTCAGTTTCGGTCACTGATGAAACTCAAACAGAAGAATTAAGCCTTTTGCTGAGCTGGCTTGAGGCCCCATGTGATTAGCCTGGCTGCAGGCTTGGAATGGACACTCCTCAATGTGTCCTGGAAGTGGCCTGTGGAACTCATTGCAACCAGATGTCATGGTGGACAGAAGCACATGCGGTTTTCTAAGTATGTTAGATTGTGGTGGAGGATGGGTGGTGTATTAGATGGATGCTGTATGCGGCAGGCAGGAGGGGAACATCCAATAGTCAGAGGCAGCCTCCCTCAGGCTACCCGATGCCAGGGAGGGAGAAAGGACAGTCGTGGACATCTGTCGCCATCTTGTTCTGCTAGTGAGCTTCATGGCTGGGTAGGGATTCGAACCCTGCTCTCCCAGGCCCTGGTCAGACACTCTCAGTGGGTCTCAAACATTTTTTTTTAAAATAAATTTTTATTATTTTCCTAATACATACTTTTACAACACACTACAATAAATCACATAGATACTTTTAGCTCTGCCGAGCTTGCGACTTCCCTCCATCCCTTCAGTGAGTATCCCTTATTTTCTTATATCGCGTATTCTATTTTTTAACCTTATATCTGCCATACATTGTAAGAGCTATTTCAGTCCTGCCAGTGTTTTTAAGGTTTTACAGTTATCCTTTATATACACCATAAATTTACTCCAGTTCTCTTGAAACCTCTGATCGTCCTGATCCCGAATTCTTCCCGTCAGTTTGGCTAACTCTGCATAACTCATCATTTTTGTCTGCCACTCTGCAATGGTGGGAACTTCTTGCAATTTCCAGTTTTGGGCAAGCATATTTCTTGCCGCTGCTGTGGCATACATAAAGACTCTTTGGTCCGCTTTCTTAATTTCCTTCCCCATCAACCCCCAAAAAAGGCTTCAGGTTTTTTGGGAAAGGTGTATTTAAATATTTTCTTGAGTTCATTGTAAATTAACTCCCAAAAGTTCTTAACTTTATCACAAGTCCACCACATGTGGTAAAGTCTCCATCCACCTCTTTGCATTTCCAACATTCTTTGTCCTTCATCCTATACATTTTTGCCAGTTTTACCGGAGTTAGATGCCACCTATAAATCATTTTTATTAGGTTCTCTTTTAAAGCCGTACATGCCGTAAACTTCATATTTACATTCCATAATTCATACCATGCGTCCAATTCTATATTGTGCCCAAAATCTATAGCCCATTTTATCATTGCTTCTTTCACTTCTTCATCTTTTGTAAACCATTCTAATAACAAATCATACATTTTGGATAATGTTTTACCTCTGTCTTCTATTAAATCTATTTGAAATCTTAATTTTTTTGTCTTCAAACCCAACTTTCCCTTTATCATCATTCAATATATCATTAACCTGATGGTATTGCAACCAACCTGTAAACATACCTTCTATTTGCTCATATGGCTTAAATTTTATCCCTTGTTTTGGGGTCTCAAAAATTTTTGTGCTACTGCTCTCTTGGTTCCATCGACTCGCCCCCAGTGCCCCCCACCCCACCCTGCCCTACACCATAAAAGCCCCCGGGATGTGAGATTACCTAGGAGGATGCAAAGAGGCAGGGGGCAGCAGAGGAGGAGATTATGGAGAGCACAAATGAAAACCAGACTTCCAAAACCTGGTATCATGGGATCAAGTGCATCAGTTTTGTTTAATTAATTAAACTAAATTGTTTTAACCGGGTTTTGAATAAATGGGCAATTAATTTTTGCTGTTTTGAATTTTATCACGCTATTGCCAGGCGAAAATGTTCCTTTTTAACCAGGTCTTTGGCTGATTAATATTCTATGGCCTTTTAAATGTGTTTGTGGGAAGGGGATGTTGTTGTTTCCTTTCCTTTTTGTTTTCACTATTTATTTTGTGCTTTCAGCCTGTATTTCTACCTTTTGAACCACACTGAGATCTTCAGATGAAGGGCAGTGTATAAAATTATTTAACTAATTAATAGAAAAAGAAGTGTGAGAACTCACCAGGAACGCCTCCCTTGTTCTCGGTGGAATTCCAGTGCAGTTAATGCAGTTAAACCTGAGTGAATAAAGAGGTGATTTCATCCTGCAATCTGGCAGGGCCAGACTGAGACCTTTTTTTAGAGGCCCCAAACACTTAAAAGATTTTGGTGCCCCCATATATATCTCATTCAAAATATAAACAATAATAAACTATAAATCTAAACTGTGCTTTTTGAAAGGAAACAAAACCTGCAGTAGGATGGAAAATAATCTTTACTTTTGTATGCTCCCACTTTATTTCTATTTGAAAATAATTTCTCCCACTTTTTCTAGTTGCAAAGTCTTTGATCAGATCCTCAAACTAATCTTACCCGACACATCTGCTTCTATACTCAGTCCAGATGAGGCATCCAGCCTGACTTGTTGCACTGTTGTTCTATTGGGATTTTAAATATACTTTAACTGAGAAAACGAACACTCAGAGGAGCAACTGGTGACCATTCGTGTTTAAAATCCCGCAATGGAAAATTCCTGGGGTGCTTCCCTTGATGCCCTAAGCACCTGCTTATTTTGCTTAGCGGTTCATCCAGCACTTATGCTTGGACGTGTTTTTTTTTGCTGTCTTTTATTGCCTATGGTTGCTTTTAAAATCATTATTATATATTGTCATTTAAACACCTTGTTGTAAGCCGCCCAGGGAATATTAATGGACTGGTGGCTATATAAATCTAACAGCAGGCAGACAAACAAACAAACAAACAAACAAACAAACAAACAAACAAACAAACATATCCCAGTGACGAAATGCGGCGGGGCGAGTAGCTGCGCGCAGCTGCGCTTCCTTTTGCGCTCCGAGCATCCCGGGCGGCCGATCGCGCAGCGCCCCCTGGCGGGATAACGCGCCGCCCTGCCTGCCGACTGGTCCTGATGCTGCGTCCGGCGCTGGGCGGGAGGCGGGCGGCGCTGGGCGGGGATGGCTCTGTGTGACCGGCGGGCGCTGCGCCCCTGAAGGCGGACGCGCGCCAGAGAGAGAGAGAGAGAGAGAGAGACCATGTTCCGCTGCGTCCTGCAGCGCGCCTGCAGCCTGCCCGCCTTGGAGAAGGGCGACAAGCGCAGCGACCCGGTGGCCAGCGTCACCTTCCGAGGTAAGGGCCCCCGAGACTCAGCCCAGAGGCAGAGGGTGGGGGGCAGAGGTCTGGACAAGGGGGGGGGGGCTCCTCCTCCTCTCTGCCCCACCCCACAGGCTGCTCAAAAAGGGAGCTCTGCCCGGCACTCCTGTTTTGCTGGTTTTGCAGAGGGAGTTTATTCTAATCTGTATATTTGATTCATGCTTTTGGACTTACTTTTCATAGTGGCAGTCTTCGTATTTATTTATTTCATTGCATTTTATAGCATACCTTGTCTTTTGAGGAGCTCAAGGTGGCCGGCATGGTCCCCACCCCGCTCCTCATTTAATCCCCACAACCACCCTTCCAAGCATAGCTGTCAACGTTTCGCTTTTTTAAAAGGGATTTCCCCTTATTCTGAATAGGATTCCTCGCAAGAAAAGGGAAAAGTTGACAGCTATGCTTCGAAGTAGGGACGCGGGTGGCGCTGCGGGTTAAACCACTGAGCCTAGGACTTGCTGATCAGGAGGTCGGCGGTTCAAATCCCCACGACGGGGTGAGCTCCTGTTGCTCGGTCCCTGCTCCTGCCAACCTAGCAGTTCGAAAGCACGTCAAAGTGCAAGTAGATAAATAGGTACCGCTCCGGCGGGAAGGTAAACAGCATTTGCGTGCGCTGCTCTGGTTCGCCAGAAGCGGCTTAGCCATGCTGGCCACATGACCCAGAAGCTGTACGCCGGCTCCCTCGGCCAGTAAAGCGAGATGAGCGAAGCAACCCCAGAGTCGGCCACAACTGGACCTAATGGTCAGGGGTCCCTTTACCTTTACCTATGCTTCGAAGTAGGCTGAGAGGCAGGGACTGGCTCCCAAGCCAGGGACTGGCTCCTGGCCAAGTGGGGATTTGAACCCTGATCTCCTCCTGGGAGAAATGGAAAAGCCTTGGGTTTTCTCTGCCTCCACAGTCGGAGGCAGCGATGCTTCTGAATCCGTTGCTGGAAACCACCGGAGGGGAGAGTTGCTCTTGCGCTCAGATCCTGCTTGCAAGTTTCCCATCGTCACATCTGCTTGGCCCCTGGGAGAACAGGATTCTGGCCTAGATAGGTCCCCTTGGGCCTGATCCAGCCGCGATCTTCTCAAGTTCTTATGTTCCTGTATCTGCCCCTTTGTTCCTTCTGAACTGCTGTCTTCTGATGTGTTTCCACCAACCTATTCCAATTCACGTTTTTATTTGGTGTGATGTTGTCACGACCCTCTTCTTCTTTATACCTTTGACCAAATAAATAACAGAATGTATTTATTTATTGAATGATTATAGATAAGGAAAGGACACAAAAAACAACAACACAGCAACACCCAGAGACATTTTAAAGCATAAAATCATTGTCCCTGCCTGGAGATGCTGCCGGGGCTTGAGATGTGATTATTCTGCATGCAAAGCAGATGTTCTTCCCCTCCTGCCTTTCCCCTACAGACCACGCCAATGAGCATTGTGGGCAGCACCCATCTTACATTTACTGATCACATGAAAACCCAGTTAAAGCAAGAACTCCTTTAAGCCAGAAGTGTGAAAACATCCACAGAGTTTCTGCGAACCCAGGGAGGGAACTAGATGTCTGCATCCAGCAAAGATTTATATGGACATACCTATATTCCAGGGAGTGATCTCAGCAGAATTGTGGACTTGGAAGAGACCATGAGGGTCATCTATTCCAACCCCCTGCAATGCAGGTATCTTTTGCCCAATGTGGGGCTCGAACCCACCGTCCCGAGATTCAGAGTCTCGTGCTCTACCAGCTGAGCTAGGTCTCAACCTGATATCAAGTTGAGAGGTTCAGCATGTCGGTTGTTCCCTGGAAACAGAGGTGCAATTTGACATTTCACTTGTGTGGGGCAATGGTGGAAGTGGCATGAGGTATGGAGATGTGTGTAACCTCAGATAAAACTGTAGACAAGACGCCCTCCAAACTCTCCACCCGGCTGAAAATAAGGGCCCCCTTCTAAGCTTGGAATAGTTCTATTTTCATGCCAGCGATTCCTGCCAGTGCCCCGCCCTGCTGAGACCTCTGATTCGGCTCTCCCTTCTGTCTGTTGCTGCATAGCTGGCCCTGCACTTATTCCAAAGCACAGCGATTCTCAGAGACCTGAGGTCCAGAATTGCAGGTGAGGCAGCTGAAACCTGGAGATGGGTCAGCGACTCACGCTTAGCAACAACATTTGAGCCATGCCTTAGTCCCTTTATATTATTTTAAAATTATTTTTTCCAGACGTTTTCACAATCACCTCAAATCAAATAATTACATTATTTCATCTGTTGACTTCATCTCCGCAGTGTTTTTACTCCTGGATTATGTCTTTATCTATTACAAAAAAGTTTCTCTGCTGCAATCATTTTGTCATTTTTCTTCTTCTGCTTTTATCTCAAATCCTGCCTGCAATTTCATTTGGCTGTAACGCTTTTTAAAAATTAAAGCCCTCCATTTTTCTTTGAAAAGTTCATCATTCTGAGCTCTTAATTTCGCTGTCAGCTTTGCCATTTCTGCCTAGTCCATTACTTTCGAAAGCCGCTTCCCCTTCATTGCAACCTCCTCTTCTTTCCATTTCTGAGCATATAATATTCTAGCTGCTGTTCTCACAAACATAAATAGTTTGGGCATCTTCTTTGGAACACCTGCCCCTATTATACCTACAAGCTTCTGGTTTGGCAGGGAATATCCCATTTAAACCTTTTCTTCCTTTTATTATATATCAGGCCAGGCCTCATTCCTCAGCGGGGAGCCAGCAGGAGTTTCTGGGCCTGGTGTATTGTGTGTGTTATTTCAGGTCCAGATTCCTGCCTTGCAGGGGGTTGGACTAGATGACCTCTGGGGGTCCCTTCCAACTCTATGACTCTACGATTCTATGAAGTCACAGTCCAAATCGCCTTGCTGAAGGCTGGTTTGGCTTCCCATTTTGGTACATTGGCTCATGTTGCCAGCTGAGCTCCCGTGTCCTGCAAGGAACAATTTTATTTTTTTTAATATAATTTTTAAATTAAACTTTATGTTTTACAGTTTAAAGTACTCGTTTTTTGTTTTGTTTTTTAAGAATATTTATTCAAGTTTTAAGATTACAAAAAAAAGAGAGAAAAAACAAAACAAGAAAACCAGTCACATACATCTTACAAAAGATACACACCATACAAGGAAAAAAATAAAAAATAAAAAATACACAAGACCAAAAATCACAATAAAAAATAACAAAAAAAAGGATTCAAATTTAACAAACTGTATTCCCATTTACTTATTTCCATGACTTCCTCACACTTCTCTGCTTTGTATTTTAATTCAAATTGTATCTCCAGCAAATCCTTCTAACCTTCTTTCCATTCACTTATTTTAACATTTTAACATTCAAAAATATTTAATTCTCCTCTATCCTTTAATTTACACTTCATATTTACTTAATTCCATTATACTCTGTCTGCCAATACGGTCTAATATTTCTTCTCCAACCTTTCCTAACATTCTTTTATGTTACAGTGATTCTGTAAATATATTTTAAACTTTTTCCAATCTTCTTCCATCAACCCTTCTTCTTGATCTCGAATTCTTCCAGTCATCTCTGCCAGTTCCATATAATCTATCACTTTTCTCTGCCATTCTTCTCGGGTAGGCAATTCTTGTGTCTTCCAATATTTCCCAATGAGTATTCTTGCTGCTGCTGTCGCATACATAAAAAAAGTTCTATCTTCCCTTCGCACCAATTGGCCGACCATGCCCAAGAGGAAGGCCTCTGGTTTCTTTAAGAAAGTATATTTCAATACCTTTTTTAATTCATTGTATATCATTTCCCAGAATGCCTTGATCTTTGGGCACGTCCACCAAAGGTGAAAGAAAGTACCTTCGTTTTCTTTGCATTTCCAACATTTATTATCAGGCAAGTGATAAATTTTTGCTAGCTTGACTGGGGTTAAGTACCACCTGTAAATCATTTTCATTATGTTTTCTCTTAGAGCATTACAAGCCGTAAATTTCATACCTGTGGTCCATAACCGTTCCCAGTCAGCAAACATAATGTTATGCCCAACATCCTGCGCCCATTTATAAAGTACTCGTTTTTTACATCCTTAAAATACCCATGACTTCCCTTCTTCTCTTCCCATGGTTCATTTTACGTATCATCAATCCCTGCATATTTTATAGAAACTATACCATTCAGCATTCCCTTATTACATCCATCAAAACTTATTTACACTGTTGAATTTGTCTTAATGCTGCCATCGCTGCAAGGAACAATTTTAAACCTGCACGTGTGTCACGGGGGAAAATTAGTATTTGCAAATGAGCAGTGGCCTTTTTCTCCCCACAAGAGGCGGCAACTTTGGGCGTTCTCTGCCCTCCTGCACTTCCTTGGGAACAAATATCATCTGCAAACACAGCTCCCCTCTTTCCTTCCTCCTTCCCATTCTGAGCGATGCCTTTTTCAAATGCTGCTCCGTCTGAGTCTGCTGAGTGACCATATATAGCAGTTTTTGGCTCTGCACGGGGAGAGCCGCAGAGCTATGCCAGGCAGACCTTCCTGCAGACCTTTGGCAATAGCAGCTCCTCCTATTGTTCTGTCTCTCAAGAGTCTTCCTTTTCCTTTTACCATTTTGTGGCAAAACTGAGCAGAGAGAGAGAGAGAGAGAGAGAGAGAGAGAGAGTCCCTTTCTGCCCCTTCTAAATGGTTTGCTCAGCCTTCCAAGCCTTTTTTCTCTGCTTCGGAGTCTAGATCCTCCTTCCGGTTTTGGACATCTCTGTTTAGACGATCGAACACGTGATGCGCTCCAAAGATAGATTATAAAAGCAACAAGCGGATGAGGCAGAATTGTTTTCGTCTCCTAGGACAGTCGAGCTGCTCCAGAAGCCCCAGGCGGCCTCTGTGCCAGGGGAATGTCGCTAGGTGGTTAGAGCAGCCTTACAGACGTTTGGGTCTCCATCTCCCATCATTCACAACCATTGGATGAGCTGACTGAGGATGTTGGAGGCTGCAGCCCAATAGCAGCTAGGACAGCAAAGTCAGAGAACTCTGGCTGGGCGAGTCTTGCATTTTTGGAGGGGGAAATAGGTGGCCCATATCTTAAAAATGAAACCAAGCAAATGGATAAATGATGCCAAGCAGGGCCTGAATCGGGGCCTCTGGTCTGGGCTTTTTACAGGTTTTGACACGAAGGAATCAAGTGCACATCTGTATGAGGAAAGGTGACCTGGCGTCAGGGCCGGCCCAAGGCATTTTGCTGCCAGAGGAGAAACAGCTGATGTTCCCCCCTAGTGAAGCTCTCCCCATGATCTCCTTATTTTAGACTCTGCACACATATACACAGAGAGAGAGAGGCAGAGAGGAGAGAAAGAAAGAAAGAAAGAAAGAAAGAGAGAAAGAGAGAAAGAAAGAAAGAAAGAAAGAAGAGAAAAAGAAAGAAAGAAAAAGAGAGAGAGAAAGAGAGAGAGAGACAGACAGACAGACAGATAGGAGAGAAAGAAAGAGAGAGAAAGAAAGAGAGAGAGAGAAGAGAAAGAGAAAAAAGATAGAAAGAAAGAGAAAGAAAGAAAGAGAGAAAGAAAGAGAGAGAGAGAAAAGAAAGAGAGAAAGAAAGAAAGAAAGAAAGAGAGAGAGAGAGAGAGGGAAGAGAAAAAGAAAGAAAGAAAGAAAGAAAGAAAGAAAAAGAAAGAGAGAGAGAGAGAGATTAATAAAGCTGGATGGATCAAACATCAACTATTTGTACAACTATAATGAATTAACTTGTTTCTGAAATGGCGAAATTAACTGCCAAATTAAGAGGGCATAATGATGAAGTGTTTAAGGAGGATTACCTCTCAAATTATAACCCATATATGAAGTCGTCTGCAGGATTTGAAATATAAGACACAGATTATTGACAGAATTAACGATAGTGGGGTTTAGAAAATTAAAACTTATGTGCTGTAAAACAGCTAATAAAAAGGAGTAAAAAAGAAACATCTGGAAAGGAGGGGCTGGAAGTCCAGAAGAAACTTTGCATGTTTTTGTTTTTTAATTGTATATGATAATAAATGTTTTGGAATATTTTTGGAGATAAAAATGATATGGAAAAAATGAATTGATTGCTTTCCCTGTTCTCTTGTAAGCGCCAACATCTTCCTCTTAAATTGGGCAGGTGGATAAACAGAGCACTGACACCTGGATCTATGCGATCTGGGACAGCTGTGTGCGGGATCTTCAGCCACACCGGCTGCCAGGGATCTTGTTGCTGTTACTCCTTCCAGAATTGCAATTGTCTACTCTGATGGGGACAGACAGATGGGTGGCTTTAGACCCGCCGTCCAGAGGAGATGGCTGGACCGAAGGCTTTCTGTGTTTTAGAGAGAATGAGTGTGGATGTGCTTGTGTGTGTGAGAGAGAGCGAGATCTCAAAGAAACCTGTTTTGCACCCAGGCTTGTTCCGTTGCTGAATCCATTGTGCTTGTCATTTGCCTTTTCTGCCCATGCCCAGCCTTGGACCTGCAGGCCTGATCCTGCTGCACCCCTTCCCCTATCTTGCCCACTGCCCACTACCCTGCAGGGTGCCAGCTGGAGTCTCTTTGGGCAGGAGTTGGCCCTCTGCACCAACCTCTGGCCAAGGATTCAGAGGCAGCTCTTTCTGCCCAAGATAATTTAAACTCCAGATGCAGTAACTGGAACTCAGGTCCTTGGGCACACCTCCTGCTGCTGAGCTCTGCCCCGTCTCCGACTGGGCTGTGACTTGTTAATGCAGAAACATCTGTTCAGACAGATGTGCAAAATGTGCTGCTACTGGGGCCGTTTCTTACCTTTCGG